TCACATTAATTTAGAAAAGCAGTAAGTCATTTGTGAAGATAATATAGATAATATAGTTGTGGTAGAAACAGATGCGAAATGTTGCGCTGGAAAGATATAAATGTGGAACGAGCGAGCTATATGCGCGTGGTGCACGTATTGTTTGCATCGGTGTTATTTAGGGAAATCAATCAAACACTGCAACAATAGTGATTTTTTAGGAGATTCCACTAAAAAGTGTTTTATATTGAGATGTAGGTTTAAGTCGAAAAATCATTGATTCAGGATTGTAATGAGTGCATTAATAACTGTATGACGGAGATATGTAGTATGACAACAAGCGTACGAGATGCCTTCGTCCTGTGACGGCAGGGGCCTAACTCGTTCCTTCGTTGCTGATGTTTGCAGTTTCATTTTCTATCTGCGCAAAACAACCACATCGCACTTTACAAACTTGCCTCAAATTGTAAAGTAAAAATAGTGTAGTGACATGAAATTACTGGTACAATTCTAAGTAGCCTTGAATTCTGAGCCGCGACCTTTCACAGGTTCCTTTACTTTAGGAATTGCTGGTTGATGATGAGAAGTAATGGAAAATTTGAATTTCTGGAAATTCCGATATTGCTCAAGGTTATTGAGATCTGATAACTTTGTACCCAAATGAAGATTCTGTATTGTTAACAATCACTGAAGATAATTTTTACGAGTTTTGCGAAGAAAAAGTACTTAGTTCTATTTTTGATAGAAAAAACCAGGGTGTCCGCATCATAATGCCTACTACTACGGCAGAACAAAGAATTCTACCATGGCTTGACGAATGCTATGGCTTCAATTTCGAAAAAAAGCTAATATTCTTTGGAGTGATGTCACGTGTATGGCAATAAGTATGAAACGGTGAGAAACCTGAGCTTTCAGAAGATTCTGATTCCTCGAGAACGCGAAGTGCTTCACGAGGTCCTTTTCGCAATTAGATTCTATATCTAAAGCTGCTTTGTGCTTCATAAAGAAAGAAAGTCGTAACAGTTAGAAGTACATAAATAAACAATATGCAACTCAAATTCAGATTATGGATTATACTTACCTCTTCTTAAGTATCCGGTCACTTCAAAATACTGGGTCGTTTGTAATATCCATTCCCGTTCCTATGGGTTGTGACTTTGTCCCTTTTCAAAAAAACCGAAATAAATTCGTATTCTTGAGCTTAAGGTCAAATGCATCAAAGGCACAAGGATTTACCGATTCTATCAAGAAGTTAATGAATTCATGTAACATGTCAACAATTGGCAAGCCATGTCATGAATCATGACTCCAATTGATAAGCTTTTGTTAAACATTTAACGCTTTGCACGTGAAGTACATGACAAAACATACGCCGATGTTGTCAAATAATCACGTCAATGATGCCGCAGCAGCTGTAAGCATTATAAGGTAGCGTAGAAAATTTTTTTTGAATTTACGAGATTGAGGAATTAAGTATTATTTGGGGAAGAGAGGATGCCACTTTATTTAGGTTATGTTCGTGAAGTAAAAGATTTTTATGTCAAAAAATTATATGCACGACGTTCATGCTAATCAGCAAGTTGTCTACAAAATCATTTACGGTGTAATAAGCAAGACACAAAAACCCTCTTGCCCTTGTGAATTTTCAGGTAGGTTTAGGTTTAGATATCACTTCCTACTAGCTCTTACTTCTCCATATGATAACGTGAAAAAAAAACAATAGGCCTAATTCAATACGGTGTCACAATTACATTCCCTACACACAGGACAAGAAACTATGTAGGAGGGGAGAGTCATAAAATTACCTAAGACGTCCTTTCATCTCCTTCTCCTTGCTTTATTAAATCCTGCAATCCTTCTAAGTCACTATATTCAAAGAATCCAGCAGAATCTTGTGCAATATTATATTGTTGAACGTTCGAGACATCATCAAATACGAGTGGAATGTGTGCTAGTTTAAAAACTACGTGTGCAAACAATGTATTTTTGGGATTACTACAAGGGAGTAGCTTTCGGAAAAGCGCTCTGATCGGATTCGCAAACTTATCGATATCAGTAACTGAGAAGACAATTTGATAAGACGGTTTTTTTTGAAGTTAGATGCTAATGAGAAGAGCGATAGAAGGGAGCTTTAAAACAATTGCAAACTACAGCAAAAAGTTCTGATTAATGCAGGAAGGAAAATCTGCATTTTTAGACAATTTTTCAATATGAGATCAAACTACAAAAGCATTTGAAAAGCCATAAACCACATCAAATTTATATTTTCTAGTAGATAACTTCTAAAAGTTTAAGTAAAGCCTCAACAACCAGAAGAATGAAAAATCGCAAACTTTCCTCTGAGCAACAAATAAAATTTCAGATTATGCCTTAGAAGTATTGTTTACCTATTATTTAATTCTCTTTCTCCTTTTAGATTTTGCGAGGTGTTCCATATATGACCACGAAATTTCGGGGATTAATAAAGGGACTGATTCCCCTCGAATAGAGCGAATTAGGAAAGTGAGCCAAAACCTACCATTCCTATTCCTCAGAAAGAGCTCCGCTGTTCCTCCTCACAAGATCATTTGCAATGATGCCGTCTCAAATTCAAGCCCACCACTTACGTGAGGAGGACTCGACTGGAATAATCATCGTTTGATTTACAGCAAAAAGGGCCGAACCGGGAGTGCTGCTCATGATCATAATGTTTCAAGTCAGTATAAAAGCATCTAGGCACAGAATAGAGCATACAGCAGCTCATCATAGCACAAAATGCATTCATCTCTTGTATGCGGAATTCTACTTCTGATCGTATCACAGGCACAGGTAAGGGTTGATGAGACAATGTTCCAAAGCTTTTCTTTGGCTTCAATTGAATTAATAATCTCGCATTTTCAGTCCCTTGTGAGAGAAAAACGCTGTCCATGCGCTCCATCCCTCCCAACACCCTGTTCTTGCGGTGTTGGTCCTATGCCGTTCTGCTCCTGCAAGCCGATCATGCCAACTCCATCCTGTTCTTGTGCTCTTGAAGCTCACATGGCCCAGTGTCACACGTACTGCCAGAAGATTTGCCAACCTGCTTGCTTGAAAAGCTGGATCCCCCTGTCATGTCCTTCGTTTTGCGGCAACCTTTGCTCACATTCCTGTCTTCCAAAGACAATGATGGTACCTATGAAAGCAGTCACTACTTCGGCGGTTCTACCATACCAATGTCCTATGGTATGCCAGAAGTCCTGCCAAAAGATGTGCTTTACACAGTTGGCTCCCAGTACTTGCATGCCAATGTGTCAAAGGCCTTGCATTCAGAAATGTATGATGGCAGCACCTATTCCGCATGAAGAGATGATACCCGAACCTGTCTTCCCATCACCGCTTCCACCACCACCATTTTTTGGTGAAATGCTTCCTCTACCTCATGGCCCTGGATGTATGGGTCCTGGATGCATGACAGAAGATGCTCTTTCACCTATGATTGACCCTTGAAATGTCATTCCATTGCATATTCGAACAGTCAATCAAGTGTGCTCATTGTAATGTACCATTGTTTGATTTTGAACAATAAATACTTCTACAGATAAGCGTTATTCTCTTAAAAAAGCAATTTTAACTTCGTAAATTGAACACAAACCTAGAGATTTCCGCACTTAGAGCAGCTGAGCTGCCTTTAACTATGGGACGGACAAACCTTACCGAGCAAAGACTCCCTCATGTGATTTAGTTCAGGTTTCATCCTTATCTATTAAACC